AAAGTACAGTGTTATTACGAGGCAAATAACATTCCTTTTTATCATTCGCACAATTAAATAAATAAGAGCATATTTTAGATCCTTTAGAGATAATTTCTTCTTTGGTTAGAGTAAAAGAATCAGTAACAACAGAAGTCACTATATCACAACGCTTTAAATCTTTTTTCATTCCACTTCGTTGAACTTCTATTTTGACTCCATTTAATTCACAAATATCAATAAGTAAATGTAAAGATTCTCTGATTTTATGACCTTCTGTTCTTTTCAAAGCAGTTTTAAAACTACATCCTTGTTTCAATTCATCTTTGTTAATTAATTCAATTCTGTCTCTAACGAGTTTTTCTACTTCTATAACATCATCATTATCTGAAACATATAGAATTTTAAGGAAATGAGAAGATTTAGGTGTTCTTATAGAACCAAATTGTACAGTGATATTGTAATATAAATTTAAAACACCAATTAGAATTGCTTGTTCACAGCATTGATACTTTCTAATATCCCTATAACTGTAACTTTCAACAACAGAACTATATCCTTTTCCTCTTTTAGGAGCATTTACTTGTTTTGGCTGAGTGAAGTGTAACAGAGGTCTGTCTAAATGAGTGTTCATTTGAATATACATATTGAGTTTTGATAATCTAAATTATTTTTATTTAGAAATTAAATTTCGTTTGAGAAACGAACGAATCTGCTTCAAAACTTCTTCCATTAGTATTTGATGGAAAACAATAATTATTTTAATAAAAGTCAAATGTCAAGAACTTTACAATAAAAAGTATTTGTAATTTCTTGATAATATTCTAAATATAATATGTTATATTATAATGTTATTGTCTTCTTGTGACCTAATAAATACATAACATTTGTCTCATTAAAGTTTGTTTGATAAAGTTTTATCATAGATTATGTTATTGATAAATAGTATAAAAAACATGATTGTAAGTTTTATCTTATAATCTTTTTTTTAAACAAAAATGTTTTAGAGTTATCTAGTTTTATCATTACTTCTAAACCAACCTATGAAAGTTTATTAATGAATTATTCTTTTTAATCCTGTTATTTTGTATTTCAGTTCTTTGTTTGTTTTATTTAATTATGTGTTCTTCCATCACAGAATTATTTCATTTAATTTGAAAATGTTTCATTTTTGATTATTCTAAAATTTTCCCAGTTACTCTTAATGATATTATTTTGTCTTTTAATTCAATCTATTTGATAATTATGTTTATATGATTTCTTTTATTTTTATTCTATTATTGAAGTTCTTTCTTATTATTTTTATCTCTTTTTATTGGAGCTTTTTTATCAGTTTTTTCATATATTTCATATAAATTACATCTCATCAATAAAATATAAATTCTAGAAGGTAAAATTTAAGTTATTAACTAATGTCAATAACTTATTATTAATCACTCTTATTTGAATTACATTTTATTACCAATAATCAATAATTATTTATTCTATCTTATTTTATTTATTTTTCATTCGATAAACGTGAATCTTGAATTCAAAATTAAGAAAACATGATTTATTAAAAATTATAAATTCATAATACAACTGATAAATGAATAACAAAAAAGAAAATAAATATCTTTGTTTGTATAATGAAAATATAAATGATGTTTTCATTGAAAACAATGAAATATTTTTGTGATAAACTACTTGACATTTTATAAACATAAAATATTTAAATTATAATAGTTGTAGATTATGTATTAGTTCATAGTTAATATTTCAATTGATAATATATTTTTGATAATACTGTTTATTATATTCATCACTTTATATATTAAATAATTTTAACATAAAATGGTGTTCATTAGTTATGGTTAATTAAATAAATACACTAAAATAATATTGGTTTATTATAAACAAAACAATATAACCTCTTTCAATGCATTCAAATTAATAAAATTATCAAATTTTTCATTTTTTAAATGATGTCATAGTATCAATTATGCCATCATAATAGTCCATCCTCCAATAGTATTAAAAACAAATAAAAATTCAAGAATTAATGATATTCTAATCAAATTAGTATACAAGAAAAGGTAATAATACTAAAAGGTTAATTAATATCAAAACTAACTTCTGTTAGACTCAATTTAATTATTAAGTTTCATACTTTTCAAATTAGATAGATATGTGTATTAGAATTAGAACTGATTAAGTCTTCATTATCATAGTGTAAAAAAATAAACTACAATGACATAACAAAAAGAGAACAAGGAAATGTC